TCTCCCCTCCCTCCCTCCCTCTGTCTCCATCTCCTCTCCCTCCCTCCTCTCTCTCTCCATCTCCTCTCCCCTCCCTCCTCTCTCTCCTCTCCATCTCCTCCCCTCCTCCCTCCTCTCTCTCCATCTCCCTCCCTCCCTCCTCCCTCCTCCCTCTCCTCTCTCTCCCCTCCCTCCTCCCCTCCTCTCCTCCCCTCTCCTCCCCTCCCTCTCCTCCTCTCTCTCCTCCTCCTCTCCCCTCCCTCCCTCCCTCTCCTCCTCTCCTCCCCTCCTCCTCCTCCTCTCCTCCCCTCCCTCCCCCCTCCCTCTCCTCTCCTCCTTCTCCCTCTCCCCCCTCCCTCCCTCCTCTCTCTCTCCTCCCCTCCCCTCCTCCTCCTCTCTCCATCTCCCTCTCCCTCCCCCTCCCTCCCCTCCACTCTCTCCATCCTCCTCTCCCTCCTCCCCTCCTCCTCCTCTCCTCTCCTCTCCTCCTCTCTCTCTCCCTCTCCCTCCCTCCCTCCTCTCTCCTCTCCTCTCCTCCCTCCCCTCCCTCCTCCTCTCTCCCTCTCCCTCTCCCTCCCTCCTCTCTCTCCATCTCTCCCTCCCCTCCCTCCTCCTCTCTCCTCCCTCCTCTCCTCCTCTCCTCTCTCCTCTCTCCTCCCCTCCCCTCCCTCCCTCCTCTCTCCTCTCCCTCCCCTCCCTCCTCCTCCCTCTCCTCCTCCTCTCCCTCCTCCTCTCCTCCTCTCCTCTCCCCTCCTTCTCCTCCCTCTCCTCCTCTCTCTCCTCCTCCCTCCTCCACTCTCTCCTCTCCTCCCTCCCCTCCTCCTCTCTCCATCTCCTCTCCCTCCCCTCCTCTCTCCCTCTCTCCCTCCCTCCCTCTCTCTCCTCTCCTCTCCCTCCCTCCCTCCCTGCTCTCTCCATCTCCTCTCCTCCCTCCCTCCTCTCTCTCCATCTCCTCTCCCTCCCTCCTCCTCTCTCCTCCATCTCCTCTCCCTCCTCCTCTCTCCTCTCCTCCCTCCATCTCCTCTCTCCTCCCCTCCCCTCTCCTCCTCCCTCTCCATCTCCTCTCCCTCCCTCCCTCCCTCTCCCTCCTCCATCTCCTCTCCCTCCCCTCCCCTCTGTCTCCATCTCCTCCCCTCCCCTCCCTCCCCTCTCTCCTCTCTCCTTTCCCTCCTCCCTCCTCTCTCTCCTCTCCCTCTCCCTCCCTCCTCTCTCTCCATCTCCTCTCCCCCCCTCCTCTCTCTCTCCATCTCCCTCCCCTCCCTCCTGTCTCCATCTCCTCTCCTCCTCCTCCTCTCTCCTCCCCTCTCCTCTCCCTCCCTCCTCTCTCCCTCCCTCCCCTCCTCCTCTCTCCCATCTCCTCTCCCTCCCTCTCCCTCTCCCTCTCCTCTCCCTCCCCTCCCCTCCCCTCCCTCCCTCTCCCTCCTCCTCCCCTCCTCTCCTCCTCTCCTCTCCCCCCTCCCTCTCCTCCTCCCTCCTCTCCCCTCCTCCCATCCTCTCCCTCCATCTCCCTCTCCCCTCCCTCTCTCCTCTCTCCCCCTCTCTCTCCCTCCCCTCCCTCTCTCTCTCCATCTCCTCCCTCCCTCCCTCCCTCTCCTCTCCCTCTCCCTCCCCTCTCCTCTCTCTCCCTCCTCCTCCCCTCCCTCTCTCCTCCTCTCCTCCTCCCTCTCCCCTCCATCCTCTCTCTCCCTCTCCTCTCCCTCCCCTCCCTCCTCTCCTCTCCATCCTCCTCTCTCCCTCCCCTCCCTCCTCCCTCTCCCTCCCCTCCCCTCCTCCTCTCTCTCCTCTCCTCTCCCCCTCCCTCTCTCTCTCTCCTCTCCCCTCCCTCCCTCCTCTCCTCTCCTCTCCTCTCCCTCCTCCTCTCCTCTCTCCTCCATCTCCTCTCCCTCCCCTCCTCTCTCTCCCTCTCCTCTCCTCCCTCCCCTCCTCTCCTCCATCTCCTCTCCTCCCTCCCTCCTCTCTCTCCCTCTCTCCCCCTCCTCCTCTCTCCCTCCTCTCTCCCTCCTCTCCCCTCCCTCCCTCCTCTCTCCTCCCTCTCCCTCTCCCTCCCTCCCTCCTCTCTCTCCATCTCCTCTCCTCCCTCCCATCTCCTCTCTCTCCTCTCCTCCCCTCCCTCCTCCTCTCTCTCCATCTCCTCTCCTCCATCCTCTCCCTCCTCCCTCCCTCTCCTCTCCTCCTCTCCTCTCCATCTCCCTCTCCCTCCTCCTCTCTCCTCTCCTCTCCATCTCTCTCTCCATCTCCTCTCCCTCCTCCCTCCTCTCCTCTCCCTCCCTCCTCTCTCTCCATCTCCTCTCCCTCCCTCCTCTCTCTCCATCTCCTCTCCCTTCCTCACTTATAACAATTAATCAGACAGTCTTTGGTACATATTCTCATTGCACCGTCACTGTTGCAAGCTCGTCATTAAAGCTTTTATGTCCAGGTTGCAACATCAGCTGTGTCATGGCCTGAGTGTTGTTATTGCATATATATATACAGTTTATATTTACATCTGTGTTATTTCATACACCCGCCTAGTGTGCTTTATTACCAGTGCTACCAATCACAGTGTTACCAAGTAGGGTCACAGTGTTACCAAGTAGGATCACAGTGTTACCAAGTAGGGTCACAGTGTTACCAAATTCAATCAACTAATAAGAAATACCCATAGGTCCTCACAACAATACCTTTAGAGCTGAATTATTAAAGGGAACATTAGATTTATTTCATAACATTCAACGTATAAGATAAATGTATAAGATAAATGTATAAGATAAATGTATAAGATAAATGTATAAGATAAATGTATAAGATAAATGTATAAGATAAATCAATAAAGTCGGTAGCCGCAAAGTTCAGGCAACAGATGACAGCACCCGTGATGGAAGGTCCTGCCGATAGTCAATACAACCAAGTTTTGTTGACATTCTCCTGAGTTACAGTATTAGTTGGAGCATTTCACCGCCTAGGAATCTGTCTGACACTTGCTGATTATTATAGTGGTGATAAATAGGAAGAATTGGCTTTAGTTATGACGTTCAGAGTAGTTGGAGATATTGCTACGTTATGGATGCTGTGTGTGTGGTGGTGTCCCCTTGGTTATTTAACGACTTTAACCCTTTGATGACTATAATTAAC